CATTCCTGCGGATAATAAAAGGCCCAATTCAACGAATCACCTGAGCACCTGTAAATAAACAGATTTATCAGCATCCTTGGCACAGCTCACAAGAACATGTGCTTTATGAATGGAGGTATAAGGTGCTTGAACAAAATAATCTCTTGCACAAACCTACACTTGTGCTAAGTCCTTTATTGGGTTTCCGTGGCTCCAGTAATAAACCGTCTGAGACATTCAAACAAAAGGTTGGTACTAATGACAGGTTCTTTACTGTCTTGTCTGCACAGCCTCTGAGGTGTAAAAGACTCCCTCTTCTAGGTGACATGATGGGATACCTGTTCTTGAACAGTTGACTTGAACAGTTGCACTCCTGTCCACTTGTTGTACCTTGCCAGTTTGAGTATTACCTCTTTTAAAACTTTTTCTCCTTCTTAAATACTTTCCTTGCTTAGAAGCAATCCTCTTCTTTCCTACAGGTTCTGGCTCCCACTCTTAGTCCTCTTTCAGAGAGTAAAAAAGCCATAAAACTACTCTCATAAGGCAGGAAAACCTGAAGAAAAGGTACCATAAAGACTCAAATGCTAAATAAAAACAATCCAGTGTTTTTATTCCCCTCCTCCCAAACATACGCTTCAGCCAGGCTCAGGACTGTCTGCAGGAAAGACTGGCAGGGAACCATCTGGCTTACTATATGGAGCCAATTGCTTAAGAGTTACATAAACAGTGGCTTAAAACTATTTGCTGCAGGATGAAAAAATGTTGGGAACTGGGATGCAGAGAGAAAATCCAGACGCAAGTCTGTCAAACAATTCTGAATGGAGATATTTCAAATACTTCTGAGAAGAGATGTCATATTTTGCCCTAAGATACTTGACAGTGCTCCTTTACCTTACATTTGGCATTTTAAGAAAGATATCCTAGTAAGATTAGTATTCTAACTAAAACAACAGCAAAATGCTTTTAAAAACCACACCTAAAAGTTTATAGGAAAACCTCAGCAGACTTCAGTAACAGCTCAGTGAAATTGCATAGCATATAGTACACAGTACTCCATTTTTAAGCAATAAATAATCTCTTCTTGCCTAATTAAATATAAAACATAGCTTCAACACTGAAAGATGCCATAATTCATTAACTGATCCATGCATCATTTATTACCTGTTTATTGCCAGCTTCAGTCTCTTGTCCATCTCCTTTTCCTGTACACAGCCAGGTAAGGGTTTAACTGCATTGCAGCCTGTTCCCTCAGGAGGAGGAGTAAACCGGCTCGCACCTTCCCCTGACCCCTCTGCCTGGCAGAGGCTGGGGAGCACACCGCCAATACGGGGAAGAGGCGTCTAACGGGAAGGGCGAGCTGTCAATGAGCCAGACACCTAAAATCTAGGTGCTCCATGAAAGGCAGTCATTCTTTCACAATCTTTTTCAAGATCACTGTATTTATACAGTGTTAACGACTGGAATGAATGATTAGCAATCTTTAGCTTTATCTGCAGGATTCTTTTCTTTCCTATAATCAGAAATTTCCCTCTACCTCAGATGCTACTATGTAAATGTCCAACACTTGTCTTGTGATCTCCATCTTTTAAACAACCAGCCTTTTGCTGTAGAAGGAGATCCCTTATGGGTAATGGATTGGACCAGGAACACATAAACACCAGCTGGACTCTCCCGACTTCCTTCCCTAGTCGAGCTGATCCCTCGAATTCCCTGCCCTTTTTTTTACATTTACAAGTTTGCCCCTGTGCTTTCTTTCCCCTCCCCTAAATCATTTGCTTCAGCTTGTGCTTGCCCTTTTTTCTTCTTTCCCCTCATGTTTTACTTTCTGTCTCCCGCCATGAATCCCGTATACCAGCTACAACTGCCACCAAAAGTCTACGGGGTTCCTGGCAGGCTGAGCTGGCCATCTACCAACTGCTGCACTAAAACCTTCCAGGTCTGAGGTTTCCTTGGGAGAACATAACATGAGAAATCAGACACATCTAAAATGATGATGAGGGCTGGTTGGGAGAAAGAGCTTTTCTCCTTCTCCTGCCAAATGTTTTGCCTTTCTATCAGAAGACAGGATTTTTAAACAGAAAAATCTGCTTTCAGATATTTTGACAAAAAGTTGAAATTCTGTATAGAAAGCAGACAGTTTGCATGGAAATTCTGTATAAATGAGAACCCAGTCTTCCCTTAAAAGGCAGCATTTACAGCCATCTCTGTCCCCAAATCCGAGATGGAAAGTTAGCAGTTGGCGAGGGCAACTGCAAGGGTTAGGAAAGGGGCAGAATACACTAACACTGGGTGGAGAGCTCATCAGGGCTGGATATGCATTCGGTTTTGGACTTTTTGAGACTGATTCAAACATTATTGCTACCTTTCACGTGTCGAGAGAGAGAGAGACTGCTGACCTCCTCAGAAACTGTGCTTTCCTGTGGATGCGGATGACTAAGGTGCTAAAGCAGGAAAAAGGAATGCTCCTCTTCCTAATATCACACAGTGAGCAGTACTTTGTTCTACACATGATACTCCTGATTCTGCCACTGGTACTCACCATAAGAGCTGATTTCAATGGACCAACTTACAGCGTACGGTGAGCAAAAGTGAAAGGAGTTGCTGCTTTGTGTTGTACTGTTTTGTAACTGGTATTCGCTACCAAAGCATTTGTAAAAGCCAGACTTACCAAATCTTAGCCCAAAATGTAAAAAACCCCTATGTTTCCTGTTTATAAAACTTGGAAAAGATAAAAAATTCTAGATGGATTACAGTATATGCCTGTGAAGACTGAAGTATTGCATAGTTGTGCTGACTGTAAGAGCAGTAGAGCAGAACAGAAATGG